TTCTTATGTTTATGGGAGGCAAAACTTAGACCATAATTTTATTAAGGCATTCTAATTTAATTAATGAACTATTCTTGTAAGTTGTAACCTGACTTGAAAATAAGGTCATTTTATAATTAAAAAATTACTTACAAACACATCATCGTGTAAGAATATTGAATAATAAGGTATGATTACATAGGAATCGAGGGTATTTTGTCCTGGAGTGAAAAGACTGGCTTGAGAAATTCCTATTGACTCTCATCTTACCAATTCGCAAGTTCTTTAAGTATTATACGAGCTCCATATATATAGATTGATTAATGTATTAATTACAAAAAGATGCCATCATGATCTCGATCAATAAAAAAGTGATGCTATAATGTTTGCATGTTTTTTCTTATTTTTGTTCCATTTAGCTTTTAATTTTATTAATATTTATTCATGCTATTGTGTCATAACATGAATTAATTATGTCGTTCCTTCTCTTTGGTACACATAAAACACCATAGAAATGTGCCAAAAACGTTTTTGAGGTGAGCAAAGCAAGGTGTGGACTGAATTTAAGACGGGGCACTGTATTTGTAAGGGATATGTGGGTATAATTATGAAGAAATAACAAGCATATGCATCAATTTGAATGGACCCCCACATAATTTTTAGCTTTCCTGCTAAGAAGTTGTGGGGAGGCCTCTGCCACAGAGTGAACAAAGCAAGCTCGTCCACTAGCTCCTTGGTATTTATCCAATGATTTCCTTTTAGGGCTTGTTGGAGGTGGACGCGTATATAAAATATGTATGTGCACCAAATTCGTTTTAAGCCAAGGCCTAAGATCAAAGCATATGCTCTATAGTATCCATCCTGCCACAGCGCTCCTTTTCAATACGATATGGAAATGCAAACACCATTTCACCAAGCATTATATTGTATGGAAAAAGAATAGAATATGGCAAATCACACACTATCTTTGCCAAATCGAAATATTTAATTCAAAAACAAACTACTCGAATTTATTTGTTATTGCTTGGTTTGGGATTTGAATTCTAATTATTAATGGATGATGATTTACTAGTTCAACACTATAAAAAAGAGTAATATTGTTAGTTCAATAGGGTGTTTGGAAAATCTTTTGCTAATTACAATACCAACTCTTCTTTAATTCTCAAATCAAATATAAGTGATAATGCAGTAAGTGAAGCATGGAAAAGGAGAATTCTTTATGCATTTGAATTAATAAAATAGGCTAATTATTATGTTTGTAAAACTAGGGACAATATGTATTGATGTATGCGGAATATTTTAAGGAAAATTATGATTTAAGGAGGGTCATGAACACTAAGATTAAGGATAAAAAAAAAAGATAAAGAAAGAGACGAAGGGACGGCGGCTTAGGATATGGGGAAATACTAAGGAGACTATGAGAAAAGAGAAAAGAAAAAAGAAAACAAATAGTAGACCAGGATGATATAATTTAATATAGGACAATGATGCATCACAAAAGCTATACTTCCATCAATTATTATGATTATTTGAAAGTCAATTAGTCTCAAGACACTATCAAATAAGTTAATTATAAAAGAAATTAACATTTGAAGAACACATGACAAAAGGTCAATGAGGAAGTAGTACAAGTGAAGAGAAGATTAGTAATTAATTTTATTAATAATTATAATGTGTGATGAACAAGACGTGCAGCTAGCATTTCTTTGTTAGCTTTCGGCCCATGCGTGGTGTGATAGGTGGTGGTTGGTGTTTACTTTTGAGCTGCACGTAAAGCCAATGGCCGGCTTCTGTTCATCTCCCCTTGGCCTTGACCCCTTCTTCTTCCTACAAGTTGCCATAATTCTTGGACTTCAGATCCTCAAGAACTTGAGCAGGATTAGCGTTCTTGTTGGCGTGCTTTTTAAGTTCATGTTCTTGCTTTTAACCACTTGTCTCATATTAATTCTGTCTGCTGTCTGTCCATATTTCTGGTCCAGCTTGACTTCACTTCAATTTCATCTAACTTGGCCCACGAAATATTTTCTCACATTTCAGTAGGTATTACCTTCGACAGTAAGCCTATATTAAGACCAGGCCTCTCGATCCTAGCGATGTTATTAAATCCAAACCGAACAACTATATGGCCAACACTATTAATCAATGGATCATTGGTTCAATTAGTGATCCAACTATACATTGAGTCGATAGTAATATATGTAAATATATTTTACTACATATAAAACATAAATAAAAAAGGATGAGTTGCAAAGTGCATAAATTTAGAAAACGAAGGTAACAAGTTCAAGTATAAGAGTTATAATTTTTTTTCTTCTTATTAATCAGATCCATTGTTAGAATCGGTTAAATTTACTGGATTTGATTAAGTTTGATTTTAATTAAAAAATAAAAGTTAAAAGTGTTTTATTATCACCCTTTACACCTTCTAACATATATATATTACATTGTTTATTGAAATAGCATAATGATGCTATTGCTGGTAAAATTATTTTTTGAAAAGAATTCCACGAGATAAATTAATCCATATATTTTTTTTACTACTTTGTTGTTTTTAAAGAGAAAAAAAAGAACTTTTCCTTAAGGTTTTTTTTTTGTTTTTTTACAATTATTTAAACAGTAAAAGTACGATGACACCCTTAAAAGCAAAAAAATATTAAACTTGCATTGAGGGCTTTTTTGTATTTTTAGTTTTAGAACAATAACATTATGGAATTGCCTTTAAATTCAAAGAATAAGTATGATTTCAAGGGTATTTTTATCCTTTTATAGGTTAGGAGTTGTTTGGTAATTTTAAAAGATTAAATATGGATATAAATTAAAGGCTATCAGGCTCTAATGTTATAGTTCCACTCAAATCCATGTTTTTTCAGTGTGGTTCAGAAATATTAGACAGATGCATAAATAAATTGTCGGTTGGAAAGGCTAAGTGTCCACGAACGGGGAAAAGGTCAACGCCCATGCGTAGGACAAGTTCCTATCCCACCTCTTAACCAGTCAGCTACACGTTATAAATAAAAAAGGGAGAATGTAATTGTGATTGTAATTATTTTTTAAAATATTAATAAATATATAATAAAAAATATTTTAAAAATTATTATTTAAAAGTTATTTTTAATATAAGTATATTAAAATGATTTAAAAATATTAATAAAATAAAAAGTAAATAAAAATATTTTAAATTTGTTTAAATTACTTTTAAATCAATTATTTTTATGAGCAGCAGAACATTAATTTATCCCCGAGCAATGAACTAATTATACACATAATTTGTGTTTTTATAGCAATTGATAGCATGTAAATCGGTCAAAAGCTAACTGAGAAGATTCCACTCCAGCTTTCAGGCAGTCTCGGTAAATTGTACATAGTAACACGTGTTAAAAAAGAACCAGAAGCTTCCTATTTGGAGAAAACAAAGAGAGGTTTCTTTGAAGGTGTTACAGTTTTTTTAAAATACTTTGTAGTTTGAAATATTTTAAAATAATAATTTTTTATTTTTTAAAATTTATTTTTAATATTATCATATTAAAATAATATGAATATTTTAAAAGTATATTAATTTAAAATAAAAAATTATTTTTCAATCCCAATACCAAACACTACTACTATGTATGGAGTTTCAACTATTATGGTTAATTCAATTTACTTTACGGGGGATTGTGGAACCTGAGATGAAGGAAGAGATAGGAGTGTGCTTATTCACATGTAAAATGTTATTTTGTCTTAGATTTAAATTCTTATTATTTATATGAGAATTTTTTATTATTTATATAAAAATTATTAAATGTTTATATAATTATTAATTTTAAAATTTATAAAATTAATTATGATGCGTGTAAACTGATTCGAACACTCATATTAATTTTTTTTAAAAATTAAAACATATATAAATTGATGAATTATTACTATTTTTTTCTCACAGACAAGCAAAATTAGTTTTTTCTCACATGATATAAAAAAAAGAAAAGAAAAGAAAAAGAAAAAAAGAAAAAACAAAACTAACTTCTCATATGAAAAACACACGAGGAATCAACTAAAAGAAAGAGAGAAATATCTGAAGGGGATTGGTTCCAAATATGAAGAGGAACGAAGGAAGAGCAACCCTTGCTTATTAAAAAAAATCAGTACACGCATTAGCTTCACGAATGCTTGAAAGAGCATAACCAATTTTCCTTCTTTAAGTCTCCGAGCTCAGAAATCAAGGGAAAATGGGGATAAAAATAGCATTTAATCCCATGCTCAGCAAACCTACTAGCTTCTTGAGAATCAAATTCAGTAATTATATTTCTACAAACTGCCTCATATTTCTGCAACCATATTTGTTGTGACATCATTATAAGACGAACAATCCTAGTCCCAAGTTTAATTTTTTATTGTAAAATATAATGTAAAAAAATTCCTTATTTAAGAGCTAATAAATATGATTTTTTATGATAATTTTTAATTTTAATGAAATGAGAATAAATTTTGTAGTTAGATTATCACACACACAAAAAATTACGATGACTATTATAAATTATTGTTTGTTCAAAAAGTAAGATAATCTTCAAGGGTTTTTTTTTTTTTGGAAAAAACTTATTGTCTGAGATTAAGTTGCTCATGACGGGACAAATTCAAAATCCAATACCCATATATATTATCATTCATGAACTTGAATTTCTAATAACTCAATTAACAAAACATACGTAGAATCATAACTCTAAGATGAGAAAAAATTCTTTCCAGAAGAGTAGAAATCTTTCTACTAAGAAGTTAATTTATACATTGAAGTGGTGATGACACTATATTATATTATAATGATGGATTCATGAGCTCATGTAAATCGACTAATTGATCTAAGCTTTTTAGGAGTGCGAATATTGCCTCCCAAATAAAATCCACTGAGTTATTTCTAAATTTGTAATCAAAGGATTTTTTCTCAAATTTGGATCCCAAAGAAAAGGCAAAGATATACGTTCCGTTCACTCTTACAATGCATTCTTAATAAAACCATTGAGTTGTTTCTAAACTTGTAATCAAAGGATTTATTCTCAAATTAATTTAGATCCCAACGAAAATGCAGAGATATACGTGCATTGTGTTCACTCTTCAAGGATTTACCACATCCTTGACAGAACCAGATTCTATATCTTCATTGGTGGTAGTAAGAGGAGAAGCTGGCTTCACCGAATCCATTGGCTCAACCTTTGTAGATTCTACTGTCGTGGCAGCTTCTGCAGCTTCTACGTTCGACTTGGGCATGTTTTTCATCTCCTTGGTTTTTCCCAGCAAAAAGGAGTACAAACCGATTATTATCAAAACCATGCCCAGCAATCTGCAACCATAATAATTTCCATTTAATTAGAAATAAAATGTGAGGTTGGATTTTGGAAAAAATAAATTAATTGATAAAAAAAAGGGGAAAGGAAAGAACATACTGGCCAGCAGTGATTTCCGCACCAATTATGAGAGCTTCCAAAACTGCCACAAAAATTAGTGTCAATGGGTTGAACATAGGAGGATAAGAAGGGCCTCTTCTAACAACAGCCCAACTAATCAAGCAAAATGTTGCTGCTGAGGCTAAGGATCCCTGCAAAGATTAAATCCCATGTGTTAACTTGTGAGAAACATCATTGACGATACATGTCCATATCCATAATTATAACATGACTGGTTCCTTAAGAGATGCGCTATCCCACCGTTAACTAGCTTAGAACTTTGTGATGAGTTGTAAAAATATTTATAGACGAGAGATTTGATACCTTGAGATTACAAGTTTCCTAGTGGAACATCAGATATCATCACTCATAATTACTTATCTCCAAGAATTAATTTCTGGGTATAGTTATATCTAGTAAATTGGTCAATAGACTTACTGAGTAGATGATTGTAAGTAGCTGCAGATTCCACTCTAACTTCCAAGCAGCGTTACTCCTATCAATGCATAGACCTATTGCTGCTGATTGTATGGAAGCCAAGATACAAGTGATCATGGTTGTATGATATTTGAATGGGAACACCTTGAGCAATTTGGCCTATCAAAGACACAAGAAAGTAGCTGAATCACATAGCCATTCAAAATGATTTGGTCATGGCTAATTAAGGATAGATATTGAAAGTGCTAATAATACATTGATACGAACCTGCAATATATACCATGAAGAATAAGACAAGCAACTGCCAATGAGCAAGATTGTACCACGAGTCTTATGAAGCACAGATGACTTGACTTGAACATGATGTTGAAGAGCTTTATGAATGAGGTGGAATGTTTTTCCCTTGTAAAGACAAGCTATCATAGCTCCTGAAACGCATAATATGGCACCTGATATCTTGATTTTCCCCGCTCGAGTGCTCAGTCCTAATTTCTCAAGTCTAACCACTTGTTTAGTTTTAATTTTCGGAATTATATAAAGCTATCAGAATGTATGATATTACATATATTTGAATCTATATAGTGAATTTGGGATTAAAATAGACTAAAGTACCTCAAGATGATGGAGAAAACAAAGGTTACTATTGGGACCAAGTTGAGGAAGTTGACAGCATATGTAGCTGAGGTATCTTTGAGACCGTAATAGAACAATCCCATAGCAAACAATATCCTGCGTCATATGCTTACATTTGTGTTATATATATCTTCTTATAACTTAGACATATAGGATGCATCTTCTTCCATTTGTATATATTAAGATTTGAATTGCCAATCTTGAGTCGAAAGATACAATTTCAAAAAGTTGATTAATTCATGAATTTGCTTGAAATATAAAAAGTGATTCAATCGAGTCATTTGCATATTTTTGTAGTTATTTAATCACATTAAAAAAGGGCCACATTTTAATTCAATTCTAATTCTTAAAATACTTTTTAAGGTGTGTTATAGAAAGATATGATTAAGGAAGACAAGATGGTACCCAAGACAAAACTATATTAAGAAAAGGTAGAGCAAAAGCTAGCTAACTTATGAAATGAGATGAAAAACGCAACCAAAGACAATAATATATTACGAATGAGATTATTTTATATGATTTTATACATCAAAGACTACAAATAAAGGTTCAATAAATATTTATATATCACTAATTTTACTCACGATATCAGCATTCTTTTGAAAATAGCATTAAATAAAATACTTTGTTAACATTAATATTGCACTATATATTCTACCTCAGTCAAAAGACAACAAGACTAAGTTGTTTAGTCTGAAATGCATGATTAGTTGTGATTCAATTGCAGCCATACACATTTAAATGATGACTCCAAAAATGGTAAAAGAAATTAACATTAATGAGGAAATAATAAATGTGATGCAATGTGAATTTGTTTTTCCCGTAGTATAATTAAAGTAATTAATTCCTTGTTAAGAAATATAAGAAGAAAAAATTTCAAGAATTTTTTTTTTCTTGATTGTATAATAAAACACACAAATGCAAGTAAATATTCCTTATTCTCTTGATCATTTGTTAAATCAATCATTTTCCTTTTAAATGGGTTATGTTTTTCTCTTTTGAAATTTATTGAAATTAATTTCAAATATGATTAGATTTAGTTCTATTCAGTCCAACAAGTGTGAATTTAAATTAATTTGAATGCGATATCATTCAAAACACAGCAAAAATGCTCATACTTGAAAGGAAAATTACTTACCCACACAAGGAATTAACAAAAAGCCAGAAAAAAACAGACCAGTTCATCTTACTTTTGATGCCCCTGCAACCACAGCAGTAATAAAAAGAAATTGAGAAAAATGGTGTCAAAGACAGACGAAATTGATTCATGACAGGATGACATACCTTTCAAAGTATAAAGCAAAGGGAGCCATGCAAACGGCAGCGACTATATGCCTATAGGTCATAAGTGCAAGCACAAATGTTCCATTATTCAATATGATTTTGGAAAGCAATTGCATTCCTGTTGCCATCACTTGAACCATCAACATGCCCATCACTGCTTGTGATGAGACAAAACATTTCTTTACCCTCCCTCCCTCCATTTGCTCTCTCTGCCCCTGCCTCTCCTCTCTATGTTAGATTTAGAGTAGAGAGGATAGATTAAATCCCTTTTGTTTTTGTTTTAGATTCTATATATATGGTACTATTTTTCTTTTGCATCAAATCCTTTTGAGATGGTGTAGGAAAAAAAGAAAGCTAAATAAAGTGCTTGATTAATTGCATTAGGGCATTATAAGGAAAGTTGGTGAAAGGGCTGAGAAAACTTGACATGTACAGGTGCCGGCGGAAGTCATAAAACTATCTGCCCGTGGAAGATGGTCACTGTGGCATCCACGCATGCTTGGCTGGCCTTGTATTTTGGCTAATTAAGCTAGGGAAAGTGTTGTAGTTTAACTAGGTTACCATCACTAATAAAATTATTATTTTTGTAAATCACACTAAACAAATGACGGCATCACATTGTGGTAGACCGAAAAATCGAGTGCTTCATGGTTCTTGCATTGTATGTATAGCTAGGGAAAGTGTTATAGTTTTACTAGGCTTCTATCATTAATAAAATTATTATTTTTTTCCATCATGCTAAAAAAATGAAGGACCTACCCATAAAAAATAAAATTGAAGGAACTAAAAATCGAATTGAAAAAATCTATATACAATAGGCAGATTCATGAGTTGCTCTTTACCCCAGCAGCAGTGCCAACGCTAGTCTTTGAACTATTCCTGTGCTCCTTTCAAGTGAAAGTAAGAATTTTTAGGCTGCAAAATCAGCAACATCAAATTTGTAGACAAGCAAAGAAAAGCCAAGATGGTTGGTTACTTGTATCAGTATTGTTCTTCAATCTAACTGAAGAACACCAGCCACACAAGATCTTCATCGTTGACCTTTCCCTTATCCGCAGCGTTGAATAACAGAGTGCATCAACTTTTCTTCTTTAAATACACTTCCAGATTGCTCCCGTATCACAAATACAAACAATAGCCACCATATAAGGTAACTGATATGAGAGAGCAAGAAAACCCCAGCAAGAACAAACCAGAAAAACTAATGAATACATCACAATATAACCCCCAACTCCTGATCTAGCTATATTCACCCTGCAAATCATCACACCAAGCTAAAATTCAAATATTCTTCAGAATCACCCAATTCCATCTCATCACATCCCATCATGATTTCACCAAACCAAAATAACATAGGTAATATTAGCAACCACAACCTCTGATGGTGTCTTCTGCAATATAACAACCAAGACCACCAATCACCCAATTCATTACTGAGAAAGAAAGAAGAAGATATATTAAAATATTTTTTAGAGCCATGCTACAAGGTCACTGCCTCTGTTAACGCCTTGCTTTTCCAAGGAGTCAGCCATATGTTTACCTTCTCTCAAAACATGAGCATAATGCACCAGTTTCAACACTGCCATAAATCTAGCAGCTCTCATGAAGATATCATGAAATTTCCATGGACGTTTCGACTTATCTCTCATCCAGTTAACCACGTTTGCTGAAACTGATTCAATCATAAATCTTTTTCCACATACTCTTCTCTTGAAGCTGCTAATTCCAAGGCTTTCGAAACTGCAAGTGATTCAGTTTCATTTGACTCCTTGATTCCAACAAAACCCGGGAAAAGATACAACACCACACCTTTATGGTCCCTCAGTACCTCACCAATTCTAGCTCTACCAGGTTTGCCAAAGGTTGAACAATCCACATTCCATTTTAGTTCTTCAATGGCAGGCATGGGCCGCATAATGTTTACTCTAGCTTTTCTGTGATTAGTCCAATTAACTAATCCCTCAGCAGATACTAACAAGTCTATAGCATTATAAGGGAACTCAGGATCATCTGCAAGGATGCTAGCTTTGGTTCCTGCACTGTGCTCCTAATTTATTTTCAGTTGGAACATTGCTTTCCTTACTTCAAAATCAATTGAAAAGGGCCACTTTCCTTCAACAGCTTAGTGAGTTAACCTGCAGCAGTGATTGGGTCATAGATTCAAGAAATACTAAATGCCTTTATCTATTATTGCTTGCAGTCAAGTGAAGAGACCAAAGGATGCTTTCTGATTGACGGATAGTGTAATGTTTTGTATTAAAGGCAATAAAGCTCTAGAGAAAATATGATTAAATGAGAGGTATAGTAGTAATTGAATAAAAAGATGATAAATATAAATAAAAAATAAAAAAATAAAAAAATGAAAAGAGTGATTTGAAAATTGAAGGAGCACACCATGAGAGAGAAGAGGGGGAAAGAGGAAGATGAAGAGAAAAGAAGAAAATTAGAAATAAATCGAAGAAAATAAGTTAAAAGGGTAAGATTTATGCTTTAATAGGTATAATATGTTTTCTTTAACTTTAAATTTTAGCTTTGATGAATGTTAGGGTTTTGAAAATTTATGTTTTGAGTTTAATTGATGAATTAATTTGAATGTTATGTGCTCATTGTTGTGGGTAATTGATTATTTAGTTGATTATAGAAGATTGTGATAATTTTGAGTTATAAATTGTGTAAATGATAAAATTGAGTTAGAAATATGGAAAGATCAGTAGGTTTTATGTTGAAATTCTTGGTTGGAGGTTGAAGATGACAAAATTGCGGTTTGGTCCCTCAATTTGCGAAAATCACAATTTAGTCCCCATACTTTAGAAAATTTACAAATTGGTCCCTGGAGCATATTCCGAGATTCTGAACAGAATAGAATATGAATTATGGTCAGAATTCCTGTATAATTATGAAATTTTAACACTTTCACTTTGGTCCTCCAATTTGACAAAAATTACAATTTGACCCAAAAAATTTGAATAAATTCCAGAATGGTCCCTGGAACATAATGAGATGTTCTGGACAGAATTGAGAATTTAATATGGTCAGAATTTCAGTATAGGAATGGATTTATGATATTTTTAGTTTGATCCTTTAATTTGACAAAAGTTACAATGTGACCCTAAAAATTTGGAGAAAATCCCAGAATGGTCCTTGGAGCATAATAAGATATTATAGACATAATTGAGGATTAAATATGGTCATAATTTCAGTATAGTCATGGATTTATGATATTTTTAGTTTGGTCCTTCAATTTGACAAAAGTTACAATTTGACCCTTAAAAATATAATAAATTTCAGATTAGTCCTTATCTGTAATATTAGATTTTTCAGATTGGTTTGATTAATAATTGAGGGTTATTTAGTGAATTATTACCAATTTTATTATTTATTTTTATTATGAATTAGATTTCAGAAAAACTGTTAAATTTTGGGTATTTGAGAAAATTGACTGGTTAGTTAAAAAATATATAGGGTTACAGAATACACCCTTAGTTAAGTTTATTAAATAGATTAATTTTTTTTTCAAGTCATTTTTGAATATATCTCATTTGTATTCAGATAATCCTGATATTCTATCGGCGGGATGTTAGTAGGATTTTCTTCAATGTCTGCTTTTGACTTCTGATTGCTTTTGAGTCAGGTGAGTAGTAATTTTCCATATGCATGAGAAATATTATAAATATTTGATTTATTACTATGAATTGCATCATGCTTCTTGAGAATATATATGTTGATTATATTATCCTTCTTACGATAAAACATGATCAATTGTTGAATTTGAATTCTTGATATGAACCAATATATATTT